TATTTATTTTTATTTTATTTTTTATTTTATTAGTGATGAAGGGGGTTGACCTGGGTGATAGGGGGAAGGTATTATGATGTCCATGATTGGCCCAGGCTATTTGTTTCCTTTGTTATTTTGCATTGTCTTCCTTTTACTGTGGCAGTGCTTTAAGGTTAGGTTGTGGTGGGAGAGTTAAATAGGGTATGCACTGTTATATTTTCTTCGTTCTTTGGTCAACCCTCAGGCTGGACAAAGAAAATATTAAAAAATTCTTCATCCACGCTAAGCAACATAATGGACAATCCCACCGATGTTTCCACTGTATTCTGACAGTGGCCAAATGGTGCTTACAGCTGAATGGCTGCAAGCATCCTATGGCCAAAGGTTTTTCAACATATTCCCTTCAGCAAAAGTCAATCTAACCATCAACTTCTGCTTATGGAATAGGGTCACCAACGTAGTGAATTTCGGGCCAATTCTGGCAAAGATTCGCTCCATCTTTACCCAGCTTTAGGTGCATTGGGTTTGAATGTCATTCAGTATCTCAGTATCCATAACACAAGGCTGATATATAGCTTCACATTTTCCACCCTCATTAAAATCTCACAACTTCTACAGCAATGACTTTCCAAGGTGTTCACATTCCTACCTTTGTAAACCAGGTCAATTAAAGCTCAGCAGGAACATCTACTACTTGGAACAGTCATCAGCCCTTTTGAGAACTGCCATTGCTGTCAGCTTTCCAGTCTAGGTCTAGCATTTACTCTGTTCTGTTTAATCTCTCCTTCACAGATCTAAACCCTGTGACTGTCATCCCAGGAGAAGAAGAGTTTAAAGCTTCACTTGGGACAGATGTCCAATTGTTCTGCTCTTGTGATGGCTCAGAAAAACCTGACCTGATCTGGAAGAAGGTACGGTCACTAGATAAGCCTTGTCTCTGGAACAGCAATTGATACATGATATGTATGACTGCAACATTCACAAGAAGGGGCCCTGACGCATTTATATTAGAAATGTGACTTGGTGACAGGAATATGACTTAGCCAGTTGGGAACCAAGTAGAGCCATCTCTAAACTACCTGGATTTGTCTTTAAATCTATAACTGCAGCCCTGTAGATCACCTTTGGATGTTAAGCCTTGGCTGTATATAGGACCTCGACTTCTGCCCAAGTAAAAATTAAGGCCTACCCCTTCTTAGCACCAGATCCACCCCTGTCATTCAGTGGTCTAACGACAGGACTTCAGTGGGCAATAGGAACTCTATCACTTAAGATTTGGATGAGAACTAGTGGGTCTTAGTTCAAAGAATAACTTAAAGCGGACCTTTACCCATATCTTAAAAATAACAACAAACACACCTTTAGAAATGTTTAGTAATGACGATCGACAAACACATACTTCTAGAGAATTGCCGGCTTTGTATTCTTTGCATAGCGTATTTCTCTTTCCCTTCCCCAGTCTTCTGACAGCGGCCATGTTTACTAGGGGCAGATTACTAGCTCTCCATTTACTTCCTTGAACTCTGGCACATGTGACTAGACATGTGACTAGACATGTGACTAGGACATGTGACCATACACATCATCTCAGGAGAGGAAAATACCTTTCCCTGAGATCTCATGAGATTACAGATGAGATTTCCCAGCAATGCTCTGCTGATGTAACCTTCCCAAGACGCAATGCTTTTGCACTTACATCATTTGTGCCAAAACTGGACCAGGAAGTAGATGAGCTCTTTCTGTAGGTGAATTAAAAACAAGTTTGTTTAGCTAATGAATGTAAGATGAGTTTAAATCAGCATGCAGATTTTTAGTAAAAGGGGGTAAAGGTCCACTTCAACTGAATCTTGAGGCATCGTGTACTGACTGGGCTTTAGAGCTGAGTGGCTCCACAGACATAAATAGATCAATTTGAAGACTAACACAGGTACTTGTGGGCACCACTTACACTTCAGCACTGTTGTTACCTTTTAGGCCACATCAGTTTCACTTTGATACTTTATCCTCCCGTTCCTGTGACCACATTAGTCATGTTGCAAATACACAATAAAGTCCAAATTTCCAAGCTGTACCCCTCAGTATTTGACCTTTAAGTAAGCGGTAAGTGATTGTTTGTTCTTTTCTAGTTCTGGTATGGCACCTTACTTTGCAAAGTCACCAGTATGCCAAGTAAATGTATTTCACACCTCAAAGAATCAACAGCATCGAAGAATACCAACGTTTCAGCCATGCAGGGTCCCTTCCTCAAGGCATCGTAGTGAACCTAGATGTCGCTATGTTGCCTTGAGAAAGGGACACAGTGTCTCCCCATAACATCTGTATTCTTTGCCATCCTTGACACTGTCTACACAATAAATGTGTAAAAGTTTTTTTTTTTACATGAGTGCTGCAGACTTTGTTTCTTTTCATGTTGGAAATTCATACACTTCTTTTAGTAGTATATTTAATACTGTATGTACCTTCTTGTTCTCTGTATTGCAGGGTGATGTTGTTGTCTCTAAAAGCAGCAGACATAGATTGAAAGAAGTGACATATTCCAATTCTGGCATTTATACATGTGAAGCTGATGTTCCCTCAGTGCCAGGATTACACAAAGAGCAGAGTGTCACTATCACTGTGGAAGGTGAGACTGCAGTTGCAGGGTTCTATGCATGCAAACAATCAGTGATGCCATTACATTTTTTTTCTCTACCCGTGTTCAGATTTCTGTTGCTTCCATGTAAAGTGGCTATGAACTGGTCTTAAAGCCAGTAGACTATATCAGCCCCATCTTGAGTATGCGGTACAGTTCTGGTCGCTAACTCTCAGGAGGGACGTCCTGGAACTGGAGAGAGTTCCGAAAAGGGCTACAACATTAATTAAAGGGTTTGAAGGCCTGAGTTATGAAGACCACATTCAAAATCTTAACTTATTCACCTTAGAAAAGAGGCGATTAAGAGGGGACCTTATTGCCGTCTTCAAAATCATCAATGGGGACCCCAATATTAGGAATAAACTGTTTAATCCTAAAACTGTATTGAGAACCCAGGGACACAAGCAGAGGTTAGAAGAGAAGGGGTTCAATCGTAGAATTCGCAAGGGATATTTCACTGTGAGAGTAGTGAAAGTTTGGAATTGCCTCCCACAGGCGGTGGTATTTGCGGATAACATTGATAAATTCAAGAAACTACTGGATGAGTTTCTTCTCTTGCAGAATCTACAGGGATATGGGAAGTTGTAAAGCCAGAAAAATACACGCACACTTACATACATAGGTTGGACTAGATGAACATTGGTCTTTATTCAACCTTACAAACTATGACTATAGACAAAGATATACACTGAGTGGCCAGATTATTATGACCACCTGACGTTTGTAGGCAAATTAGCTATAATTTTGCGCTGAAGTTGCTAGAGGGCCAGACCATTATAAATAGGGAAGCAGATTGTTTACCACGACAGTAGAAGTGATTTTGTTTCTGAAGATAGGGGTAAACAACGAGATTTAACAGCCTTTGAACGTGGGATGATTGTTGGCGTTTGGAGCCATGGAGCGAGAATCAGCAAAACAGCAGAATTCGTTAAATGTTCAAGAGCAGCTTTTGGTAAAGTGTTTAAAGACTGGACTGTCAGCCGAAAATCTGGGTCTGAACGTGCGAATTGTGGCCGTCAGTGACTAGTCAATGTTAGGGCAGAACAGAGAGTGGCAAGACTGGTAGAAGACAACAGAAGGGCAACAGTGCAGTGTCAGATTCTTCGCATCACCTTTCAACATCTCATGGAGTCACAAGGCGGCCCAACGAAGTCATCTCGTGGCCCAACGAAGTACTGATGGGGTAGTCATAATAATCTGGCCACTCAGTTTATAGAAGGCACCATAAGGTGGCAGCTGTAAATGCTGATTTTCAGAAAGCTCAAGAACGGGGTTAACATTAGCATGATACAGACAAGACCCCTTGCTCTTGGCGTGGACGCAACAGTCTCTCTGCAGAGGTCCAACACACCACCTGATAAGTCACAGATAGAGTTATCCTATCATTAAGGAGCATGAGCTTGGCTGATTGCAGAGCTATAGGTCTGGCTAAGCAGGTCTGACTCAGAAAGACCCTTGCTTCTACACAGAGAGCAAGGGTCGTTGTCTGCAGCATGCTGGCAGGGGACATGGTTTTATATTCTAAACAAAATTAATTATAGGACTTTGCACCCTTTGTTTTGATGCATCTTAAATATATTTAGCTGACTTAAACTAAGAATTAAGAATTTCATGAACATGGCTGACGGGAGATATCTCTTAAAAATTTTGTCTATTTGGGTTATATTAGGCCCACCAGAACTGGACATGGAAAACCATCAGGTTGAAGTAGAATCAGAAGGACATCCTGTGACATTATCCTGTAAAGCAAAAGGAAACCCAGTACCTAAAATAACCTGGAACCAAGCAGATCTGAAGGTAAATGCCTGAACATTGCCAGCACTGATATCACTATAGTGTGCCCTACCCTTTCATTAAACCTCATTTGAGGTTATTTACTCCACATCATATGTTGGCTTGTGTCACTCCACACCATGATGGCCAGAATGAACCTATGATTAATTTTCATTCCTGAGGTCAATAAAGACTCTTTGTTCCGTGTCCCTATTGTCATCTCAGCTGACATTCCCACCCAACTTGTGTCATGGGTTTATTTCCGTCGTAGATTGTTCACATCTTTTTTTCATATTGAAACCCAAGGTCAACGTTGTTCTGTGTGGTTAGCTGACTAATGTCACCCAATTACTGTGGTTTATATATCATGCTAGAAACCTTGTCCAGCTATTTTCTTGCACTCTCTTGTTGAACCCTTGTTGCATTGCTGAAATCCTGTATTGATACACTATCTGTATGGAATTTGTATGTTTTATGTTTCTGTGGATTCCCTTTGGGTTTTATTCACACAAATAAAAAATGCCCTGGTAAGTTGTCTGCTTCTGAACAAAATGGCACTTGCTTGTTGGACTGTAAGCTCCTATGAGGCAGTGGCTCATGGAAATAGTACTACATACTCTGTATGTAGTACTATTTATTTAAACTTTAACATAATGGAATAGCACTTAAAGGGAGAATACTGAACCTTTTCCATCAGTCTCTCAATGGAGCTTACAGTTTAATGCTTATACCTAAATCACACTAGGAGCAGTTTGGGTAATTTACCAATATGTTTTGGCAAGCACATAGGGGTCTATTCACTAAGCTGCCGTAGGCAGCCGAGTGAATGACCTACCTGAAGTGAAGTGAGCCAAACATCGGCTTGCTTCCCGTGGCTTCGGGTCGGCCGAACATGCTCAGCATGTTCGGCCGACCCGAAGTGCAGAAGGAGTTCGACTCAGCC